TTGTGGGGTCCCCTAAAAAGAGACTTTTTGGGTAAAAATTTTGTGTTTTTGCCCCGAATACCCCTATGGGAAACCAAATACGAAAATTTTTTCCCCTAGGGGGGAAAGCCCCCCCCCCCCTTTTCTTTGGGGGGCCCCCCCCCCCCCCCCGGGTGGTGGTGGGGGAAATGGATGCAACAACTCATTGTGGGAAGGATACAACCCATAAGACTTTGTAAACTCAAAGGAGACCATGTGTAAAGTGTGTGGAACAAAAGAAATGTTGTGAGTTGTTGGCTCAAAGGTTTAACCACTTCCAAACATGGTGCAACAACTCCCAACAACACGCAAATTTGTGCTAACAGACAACAGATGAAACATCCAACAATGTTGGGAGTTGTTAGCCAACAATGTTACATCCATTTGCACGGGGATATAGTTGGGGAACAGTGTATAATGTCAGGGTCCCTCAGGGTACAGAGCATGACCCGTGGTTTTTTTATTATCTTGATCATTATCTTGGAAGTAACCTCAAAGTCGAAAAGAGCTGCTTACAACTGGAAGTAGATTCTCTAGCAGATTTGAAAATAATAGAAGCAAGTAATATATAATAGACCATTTGATTTCCTCACTTTTAAACCACACCTAGCCTTGCTTTGAAACAGAGGCATGGGGCAACTCGGAAATGGCTAAACCCTGAGAGTTAACTTTGAATGAGGAATGATGAGGACAAACTGGCCCTATTAACCAGGTAACTGAAACTGTTAAAAGCGCTATTAAAAAGTTCTTGGTTCACACGTTTTTAATATCCATATTTTAATTAAAATGAAGTTGTTTAAAAAGGCTTGGAATGGGGCAGTGCAACATGAAGACTATTGTTTTTAGGGTTGGAAAACAATGGGACCATTGCATTCACATTCTCATTTGCATAGTGAAAACAATAGTCCGCAGTCTCCATCTTACACTGTCCGGGCTAGGAAAAGGCTTTACTTCCCGTCTCAGTTAAAGCATTCGGGATTTAGTTCCCAAGAACTCATCTGATTTTTCTGCGAGTGAATAAACCTGACAGCTAAAGGTTCCCACTCGTCCAGTTTTCTATGCCACACAGTTGCCTAATTATCTGACAAGTGAACTTGAACCAGTTCAAAGGCATGCGGTCTAATTTGCAAGTGTCCAGTTTCTCGAAAGTCCCGGTAACTTTTCAGGCCCGAAATCAAATATTCAAATGGAATTACAAAGAATAAGAGCGTGGGTCCTGGCTGACAAACAACTCCACTTTGTTTCATTAACTGATAGTTTTATCATGTTAGATGCAAAATTATTGAAACCTCGATCTTTAATGTCAACAGCAAAAGCTTACCGGGCCCGTTAATTATTGAGACTTTCAAGAAATGCACTGGAGGAAAACTGCCAATTTTGCTCCTTCCCTCTGGTCGACTTATTTTGGAAAACACAAACAGCACTTTACCTTGGAAAATCATTTGAACTAGAAATTACCACTAAATGTTATCATAAGTGTGGGATGAAAGAAAAAAAGTCCCTAATGGAATCTAAGCCCTAGACTTCCCAAGACCCTCTTCACCACTGTGCTACAAGTAGACTCATATACAAAGCTTAAGACCCCCTCCCCCAAAAAAATTGGGCACAGTATCCAAATTAATACACCTAAATTTTCAAAACGCGGCAAGCACATGCACTCTTCCAAGACTGCAAATTAATGTTCCAACTGTACCAATCCCAGGCTTGGCGCACTATTATTTCCATTTTTTAACAACTGGATGACGAAACATTACTACAAAGAATGAAAATTTGATCGAATGAGTTACATTCTACCTGTATTTTATTAATATTATGAAGGCAAATTGGGCAAACAAAATTTATTTACTTGTTACATTGGTTTACAGACTTTTTTTCCTGTACAGCATTTCACATTAAACACGACATGCACTGAACTCACAGTTGGTGTTCAAATAAAAAAATACTAAGAGTCCAGAATATTTTTACCCATGTATCCCATCCAAGCAATCACAAAAACATTAGTCACTCAGTAAATATTACTATGCTGCTACAAACATTTCAGTCTTCAAATTTATTCATCCTTGAAACGGAAACTGACATAAAGCTCCTTGAACTTATCAAAACCAGCAAGCACACCAGCGCCAGCCATACCACGCAGGACATTTGCTCCTGCTCCCTTCATCAAAGACATGAAGCCTTCATTCTTGAGGATCTGGACAGTACAGTCGATAGAGCCCTTGTACTTAACAGCTTCTCCTGATGTCATCATCATTCGTCGACGGATGGTGTCAATGGGATAGGAGGCTAGACCAGCTGATACTGTTACTCCATAGCCCAGCATGAAGGAGATGATCAGACCAGCATCCTCACCAAGCAGCATGGGTTTCAGGGTATCGTATAGACCAAAGTAGAAACCACGGTATACAATGATACCAACACAAGAGATCACAAAGCCTCTGTAAAGACCAGCGATACCATCTGACTTGAGGGTCTTACGGTAAACATCAACAATACCATTAAACTGCCTTTCACCACCCTTGGAGCCTGCCTTTGCATCATTGGCCAGCCTTGTTCGGCAGTAATCCAGTGAGTATACAAATAGCAGTGACATAGCACCAGCAGCACCACCAGATGCGATGTTCTTGCTGAACTTGACGGTATAGCTGTCACTTTTCTTAGGTTTGAAAAGTGCTTTTATCTGATCCTTGAAAGCAAAGTTCAAGGCTTGAGTTGGGAAGTAACGAATGCAATTTGCAAGGTTACCTGAAAAAAAAAAAACCACATTCATACAAACTAAGATATGGAAAATTCCAGTATTTGAGTAAGCATGATTTCAGTTTTAAAGAACAAAATGCTTGAACTAATAACGGATATGAAAACTTTATAACCCAAGATTTATTTGGCGTCTATGAAGTGGCCTTTTTGGTTCAAATGTTTGAGTCATGCTGTAGGTAGATAAACATATGTTTACTTGTATACAGTTCCTCAGTTGCCCACATCTTAATTCATTGTTTAAGATCCATTGACTTAATTGAAGTCCGCTAAGAATAACAAGTAGACAAAAAGCTAACTCACAAATACTAATCAGTCATGTCAGAAATGCATGCACAATCAGACACAGACACGTACACGCAAATTTCTGAGCTGCGCTGTAGTTATCACATTTTGCAGCTAAGAGGGTATGTTTATCTGAAAGAAACTGAAATTAGGCATCCTATGAAAGGCTGCAGGTTCTCTCTCACCTCTCCAGAAAGACAAAAAACCTTCTGCTCTGTATGTCCTTGCTGTGCAGTCAATGACACCCTTGTAAGGAGTGTCAAGACGACCTGCCTTCAACATCTCATCTTGATTTTGAACAAGAAGCTTCACACGCTCAATTGGGGCCGCAGCAGTCTTGGAAATGATGGCAGCTGCTCCACTAAGAGCAAAATTTTCTGCAAAGCCCAACTTTTTCTGACTGGCAGCTACTTTTGTTGTTGCCATCTGAAAGGAAGGAAAATTAACAAAGTAGGATTAGAACTCCTGGAGAAACTATAGGTGCATTTTTCTGGGAGAATCTGGATTCTTCAATTTCTGATCACCCAGATTCATTTTCAGCACTAACTTTGATTGCAAAAGGTATATCCAAGAAATTTCTTAACCAAAAAACTACAACAAAAACAAAATATGGGAAAATTACAACAATTTGGGAGCAACATGACAGGTTTCATGTTTACATATCTGGAGTCTTGAGATCACAACCCATTTTCAGATTTTGGTAAAAAAATTGCAAATCCACATTTGGATTAACAATAAGTAGTTTCCTCTAGGGAGAAGTAACAAAGCCAAGAGTCAAAAGTACATTAACGAAGTTCGAACTGAAGAACACAGCATAATAGACATGATAACGAACAGACCTGGATAAGTAGCTGGGTACACAAAAAAAATTTAAAAAAATTAAATTGTATTGCAAAACAGGAAAGAATAATTAAATGTAAGGTATGCATTCCTTAACTAACATCTTGACAGAAAGCAAGGAAAGGTCACCAATTCCTTTTATTGCCCCTGCAGGGATTTCGCTTAGAAGGCGAAATCCCGGGGGAGGCACCCTCGTAACTCACGAGTATATTAAGGAAAGTACTTTCAGTTGAAATATACAGTCAGTATACCAGAAAAAATCTTGATTTGCTTGAACAGGGGCCGCGAGGAATTGGTAGGTGGTGATGTTTCTATTGTTTGCACCTGTAGGTACAAAATGGTTAGGATGACGTAAAGACAGAAAATCCCGAAGGGACCCCTTAGGTAGATTTTGTGACATTCATAGTGCAGTCATACTTCGATACTCTTTTGCGTTACGTGTTATCATTGACGTTCTGTGGAGCAGTTGTTTTGAAATTTATGGACGAAAAGACACTTGTTAAGCGCAGATGAAGTTATAAGGTGCATATAACTGTGTATATAAATAAACACTTGGAGAGTTTGCCGAACACGAGTTCACAAATCTTTGATTGGAAACCTTGCCAAACACTCTTTCTCTCTCTTTGACCGGAACTGAAGACTCAGCCCCAAACAAGCAACACGAGTGGCTCAACGGCTAGCTTATCACTAGCAGAACGATGGACGATTACAAAAATTTGATGACAATCAAATTCTGCGCTGACTTATTCCCTGTTCACAGATGTCCTTCCGCTATAAAGTTTAACGTAAGACTAGAATGCACAAGTGTGAATTGATCAAACGTCCTTTTAATTCCTAAGGCTCACTTTCCGGAAAATAAAATGAACTGAATGTAAAAAGTGAAAGAGAAATAGCGAAAAATTCAACTTCTAATTAAATCTTTTCTTATGGTTTAGAATAAACTATTCTTGAAACTGAGAATGTTTTCAAAGCTGCGTAAATCAAACAAAAAAAGTGCATGGAACCTTGAACTGCAACTGTCCATGGAACGTTTCCTGTATCTCACCTATTGTATGGAATATGTCTGAAAATCTTCATTAGGAATCGGACGAGTATATTTCAAAGAGCTAGTCAACGTGCAAGAATACTATTGACAGACAATATACAGAGCGGGGGCAGCTATAGTGTCAACTACTACTAGTAGTAAGCTTGTACAGTGTAATTGTGGTAAGTAAACTAACACACGCTATTCCCGGGAAAGTTGAAATAATGAAGAAATCACTTTATGTTGAACGTTATATTCCTCATATTCCGTTCTTATACAACTTTTTGTTTGTTTGCTTTCATCTCTACTCTTTGCTTTTCGTCTCTTGGAAAATGCAAGAAACTTGTCGATAATTTTTACAATGTAAGCTTAAATAGCTGGTCTAAATAATCATATGGTAATGATGCGTGTTGGATGCCAAAGTTTGAAATTTAT